TCATAAGGCCAGTCTTTTCGTTGCATTCCACTCGGAGGCTAAAGGTATAGGTAGGCTAGATAGAGATCACCATAATGTGTGCGTGTGTGTCGTGTGTAATTTTCGTATCTGCCTAGGAAGGAGAGGTGACTGATGGCAGGCTTGACCACCGGGGATACCAACCAACACACACAGGGACATCATCTTAATATTCTAGGATTAAATGGGAATGCCAACTTGAGAGACGAGAGGAGTGTTTTTTCGCGATTCAAGGGATAAAGGGAAACAATGCATTCTCATACCAGCGGTTACGACTTAATCCGGACACAGGGCCCCAAAAAATGAGACACAATGTGGGTGGGGATCAGGGAGAGGATAATTGAGTCACGGGCTTGAAGCCTAGGGAGAGGAAGATTCAAAGGCACTGACATGGGCATCATCTGCTCTAACTCTTCGAATATGGCGTAATCGAGGACGGTAATGGAAGGTTCTTCGGCAGCCAGATTTCAGACAGTCAAACAGTGATTTTGATGTTTAGCAGCGGCTAATTGACAAGTGGGTAGGAATAAAAGAGGGGCAGAATGTAGACAGGGAGCCCTGCAAACTGCATCTGGTACCGGTGGTGGAGATGATTACGCTTCACTAAACCCACTTGTAGAGACACACTCTTAGGTGACATTGGAGGAAACGAAAGCATGGAATTGTGTGTATAAGTAAATGGGCCATATGAAGTTTAGTTAAAAGAGATGCGACACTAAAGGGTAGAACAAAGAATAAGGGTGAGGAATGATGTTAAAACGGTAGAACAGAAAATTGGTGAAGGGGATTGCCTTCACTTGTCACTATGATAAGTTGTAACTCTGTGCTTACAATGACTCCTCTCATTTACGATGCTGGCGAAACGTTTGGGAATGTATCCAGCTAATGGTCCAATGCAGTAAATCAAGAATACTATGGCAGAGGCCACGGAATTAGGTACGTTTTACAAGGTCTCCCTGACGCTCCGACCAAGGTCGAATTAACAACACTATTAAGCTAAAAGAAACTGCGACCAAACAGACGGTCATACCATCTTGGTCTTTATATCCTTGATTGTCTGTCAGTCTGTGTAATCCTGCTACCTTTAACACCACTGCTAATGTCAATTGATTATTTTGACATTTTTATGATTTTATACGATGCTTAGTAATGTATATATTTGGACTATGAATGAAAACAGATAAGACATGCTAGATATTGAAACCAATCTTTAATAGTAAAGTCTACATGGATTTTTGAAGCTCTTATCCGCCAGCTTTAATTGGGTGATACATGTCTGGATCGCTTTCTCTGAAACCTGTAAGAATCTTATACGGCTTTTGACTTTTTAATTTTTCCCTATTTCAGGCTGGCAGGCACGCTATTCTTGTTTACACTCAGATACTCATGCATATATATATTTATATATTATAACTTTTATTTAGAGTCCTTCTTACATTGAGGCCTCTTCCGCTACCTGCTTGGGCGCATTAAATAGTTCTCGCATGCACAAAGAATCCAGAGTCCCAGTTTATTCTGATGGCCTATGTCCAGAGAATCCTAGCACCTCTCCATCTGAACATAGAACGAACATGATTCAAGTAACTTGTGAACAGACACCTGGCGATGCAGCAAGCCTATCTTCCACAGCATCCATAGCCTCTCTCCACCATTACCAGCACTTTGTTCCCCCACAACTTCGCGCTCTGCGTGACTTGATTGTCAAGATGATCAACCACGGCAAGCACGAAATGGCTGCCAGCCTTTGTCTAGAAAGCATCCGAGGTCTTCAGGCGGCGCTGCCTTCTAAAACCGAGTTTGAAAGCACGACCACTCCCATTTCTTTTGGCAGCCAGTTGGATGGCCTGAGCGGAAGTGGTGACGTCATGGAGGCGAGGCAACTTAGGCATGAAAGTACAAAGGTTTCAGAAGAAACAGAACCGAAGGACCGAAAGCTCAAAAGCCAGATGGATATAGCTGCTTTGATGAATATTCTAGCCTTGGTGTACAGGTGAGTTTGGCCATTCCATTTAATGTACTTCGTTTGTGTTTAGGCTTACCAGCATATCCTATTCCTAACTATCGCCATTCTCAGAAAACGTAAGGGTTCATTGATTATCTTCTGCCTCAAAAATTTGATACTTTCAACTATAGCAACTACTGGGGCATTTATTTGGTATTATTAACAGATCATCTGCTTGAATGAGTCGTTCTGAACAGAATCTGGTAACATTTGGGATTGATTTCCATTACAACTCTTTATGGCTTCTTTGCTAATCATTAAGCCATGGATAAAATCTACGCGTATTTCTAGGCTATAAAAATCAATTTAGTTTAGGCGTCCTTATCAACTTTTCATAGATATTTTAAATGCTTTTGCATAAATCCCAAGACTTTCCGGGACTGAGATTCCATCGACGCTACCTCGTGTAAGATCAGAATGAGTGAAAACATGTTAAATCCCTATGCATTCTGTATTCTAGTTCTTTAGAGTCGTGTTATGGCGGTATCCCTCTTCTTTACCTTCAGAATGAAGTTATCGGAAATCACCCGGTTGTACTATTAGGGGACGTTTAACACATAAACAATAGCTATTTCTTCAATTTGAGCTATCTCTAAAATATGTCTGATACTAAATGCTGCACGATTTATAGACTGGTTTTTGGTGATAACTGTTTTCTGCTCTATGTAAATTTTAATATGATGTGAAGCCAATTAGTCATTCAATGTGGTTTTATGAGGAAATTTCAACTTTTACGAACAATACCAAGACTAG